CTTGCAGCCATGTGTGCACACTATACCTCCAAACCTTCTCCATCTTGGCTACTGGATTCTGGCGCCACAACTCACATCACCAATGATATTGCCAACATCTCTTCCCCAACACCGTATACTGGTGAGGACAAAGTTTATGTCGGTGATGGTAATGGTCTCTCTATACATCACATTGGCTCTTCTTCTTTGCATTCTTCTCATGCTAAATTTCATTTGAGTAATGTGCTCCATGTTCCTCAAATGAAACACAACTTGTTATCTGCTTCCCAATTTCTCAAAGATAACTATTGTGCTTTAACACTTGACTCTGATGGATCTGTTGTAAAGGATCGTACTACGGGGAGGACGCTTTTGCAGGGTCCCGTTAAAGATGGCTTTTACCCTCTGCTAGACTGTTCCTCTACTGCTCCATCTTCTAGATCCTCTTATGCTTTCGTCAGTGCTCAGGGTTCAGTCAAACTTTGGCACAGTCGGCTGGGACACCCTTCTTCATCTATCTTTCGCAAAATAATATCTAGTACTAAGCTTTCTATTAAGGGTACATCATTTGTTGACTTCTTTTGCTCCAAGTGTGCTATTGCTAAGAATCACAAACTCCCATTTAGTTCATCCACTACATCTACCTCTCAGTCTTTTGAGCTATTACATTGTGATCTGTGGGGACCAGCTTCTGTCACTTCAGGAAGTGGTTTTCGATATTATTTTCTCATTGTCGATGACTTTAGCAAGTACAGTTGGTGTTTTCCTTTAAAGACTAAATCAGAGGTGTATTCTACTTTTGTAATCTTCAAAGCCTATGTTGAGAATATTGTTGGTAATAAAATCAAGATACTTCGTTCAGATTCTGGGGGTGAATTTACCAGTTTACAGTTTAAAGTTTTTCTACATACTCATGGTATTGTCCAACAACTCAGTTGTCCACACACACCAGAACAAAATGGTTGTGTGGAGAGGAAACATCGGCATCTTGTTGAGACAGCTCGGACCTTATTAGTTGAATCCAGTGTTCCTCATTCCTATTGGGTTGAAGCTTTTACCACTGCCATTTATCTTATAAATAGGTTGCCTATCTCAGGAAATACTAAATCACCGTGGGAGTTGGTCTTTCGCAAGTCTCCAGATTATTCCAAACTTAAAGTTTTTGGGTGCAGTTGCTATCCGTGGTTAAAGCCCTACATTTCATCACTTAATGGGAAAAGTAAGAGATGTGTCTTCTTGGGTTACAGTTTACAACACAAAGGTTATCGGTGCTTGGATTTGGAAACTAATCGGATTTATGTCTCTCGACATGTTACATTTGATGAAGATACTTTTCCATTTAAAGATGTTTCTTCAGTTCCATCCTCTGTTGATCAGTCTCTTTCTCCATTTTCATATATTAATCTTCACTTTTCAATGCCTCCATCTCCACCCTTTGTCCCTATGCTTCTCTCCACCCCTCTCTCATCTTCTTCCCAACCCGCTATCCCTCCTCACTCTATTTCTCCACCAGCATCTGTGCCTACGCATCACCCTGTCTCTCCAAATCATTCTGAGCTTTCGCATCCCCCTGTGCCTCCTCCTGTTTCTAATGTGCATACCATGGTTACTAGATCCAAAAATGGTATTCATAAGCCCAAAGCATTCACTGCTACCAAACATCCTCTTCCTTCCTCCACTGATTACATTCCCAATACTTATCTTCAAGCATCTAAATTTGAAAATTGGCGACTCGCAATGCAAAATGAATTCAATGCTCTTTTATCTACTGGCACTTGGACACTTGTTCCTCCTTCACCCTCTCACAATGTAGTTGGCTGCAAGTGGGTTTTTCGAATTAAAAAGAATCCTGATGGCTCCATTGAGAGATATAAAGCAAGGCTCGTTGCTAAGGGATTTCACCAAAAGGAAGGTCTTGACTACACAGAAACTTTTAGTCCAGTTGCAAAGCCGGTTACTATCAGACTCTTGTTATCTTTTGCTGTCCAATTTAACTGGTTTCTTAATCAACTGGACATAAGCAATGCTTTTCTGCATGGTGACTTAAACGAGGATGTATTCATGGTTCAACCTCCTGGTTTTCAGGATCCCAGCAGGCCTACTCATGTGTGCAAGCTCAGAAAATCTCTCTACGGCCTTAAACAAGCTCCTAGAGCTTGGTTTGACAAATTATTTCAAGCTCTTCTATCTCTGGGATTTAGTCAATCATCCTCTGATGCTTCTTTATTTGTTCTTCATGCTCTAACTCTGGTTATAGTTCTTGTCTATGTTGATGATATTCTGGTAAGTGGTCCTGATGCTACCATTTGCAATCAGTTCATAGCCAAGTTGAGCACTTTATTTCCTGTCAAAGATCTAGGTCCCTTGCTTTACTTTCTGGGTCTAGAAGTTCATCGAACCACAGACACTCTGATTCTTCACCAAAACAAGTATCTGCTTGATCTGTTACAGAAATCAAATATGACTGGTGCAAAACCCTGTTGCACTCCACATAGCTCTACCAAGCTAGATCACAGTGGGGAATTACTTGCTAATCCTACTGAATACAGATCCCTTGTCGGTGCTATTCAATACTTAACTTGGACAAGACCTGACATTTCCTTTGCAGTGAATCAAATCTGTCAATTTATGCATACACCTACTGTTATTCACATGCAAGCAGCCAAACGTATGTTGCGTTTTCTCAAAGGGACTATTACTCATGGTCTCTTGTTTAGGAAAAGCTCATTGCATCTGTCAGCCTACTCGGATGCCGATTGGGCTGGTTGTTCTTATGACCGAAGATCCACTGGTGGTTCATGTGTTTTTCTGGGTACCAACTTAGTTAGCTGGAGTGCCAAGAAACAATCAACCGTAGCCCGATCCTCTACTGAAGCTGAGTACAGGTCCTTAGCTCACACTGCTGCAGAGGTTACTTGGATTTGCAAGGTGCTCATAGACTTTGGTTTTCCTATTTCTCACAAACCTACTCTCTGGTGTGATAATATCTCTGCTATATCTCTTGCCTCTAATCCTGTATTTCATGCTCGTACTAAGCATGTCGAGATTGATTATCATTATATTCGTGAGTTAGTGCTTGCACATCTGGTTGATGTTAAATATGTGTGCAGTCAGTCTCAAATTGCAGATATCCATACCAAAGCCTTGTCTAAAAACAGATTCCAGTTTCTGCAGTCCAAGCTTTCACTTGGAATCCTTGATTCTTCCAAGTTTGGCTTGAGGGGGTGTAAAGATGAAGATGATATCTCATAACTAAAGTTGGTTGGTTATTAGTTCAGTCTGTTATAAGTTTGTTACTCATGTAATTAGTTTGTTTTCTGTGGTTGGTTTAGAATAGCTAAATGTAAATAGTCAAAAGGCTATATATATGTAATTGTATTAATTCTTTTGTTAATTAAAATGAGACGTAACAGATCTCTTAATTCTTGAGAAACCTTTCTCTCTTTTCTCTTCTTCTCTCTCTCTCTTTTACAATACCACAGAGTTTCTACAGTTTTCACTTCATATGACACAAGTAAAAGTCCAAAATTGAAGAAACAGAAATCTGAAAATCACTTCTTAATTAAGTCAGAAAGAAAAAAGTTCAATAAAGAAATCCAATGCAACATTTGCTTAAAATTGTTGAGATTTGAAATTACGCTTCATTTATTCAATTATTGTGGCTTTTGATGAAAGCCCTCTCTTCATGGTCGGATTTACCATGGTTAGCTAGCTCTTCTTCCCTGACAATGGCAGGGCCAGGTGCAACATTCAACCCTTTTGGCCTTAAGAAGAGTCTTGGCTGGGTAGCTAGCTTGCTCCAAATACATAAGATCCACCAACTTCATAAATAAGATATGATAAGAACTTTCATGCAACGAGAATATCATTACGACGGTATAATATATGAAAAAATATAACATCTAACATTACATGACATTTTCCGATATAAATAAATTGCTCTCATATTTTGTATTAAAAGTTGAATGGGATACAGCTAAACTGAATATGATTTGGCTTGTGTTAACTAATTGGCAAATGTACTAAAGTTTTCTCAACAGCACTCATGATTAGAAGCTTGTTTAGAAATAATAACCAAATCTCATCCCAAATATTTGATGCTTGCCACATTGTCACATCATTGCTTATTTTAAAGTCACTTTTTCATGGTTTCTCACTCTAAAGTGCAGAGTGACAATAGACATCAACCCTTGTATTTCTTTTTTTCTTTTTTCTTTTATTTGTTGGTAAATGTTAATAATTATCTATGACCTAGCGAGAGCGACCCATAAAATATTCGTAGAACCACCGGCTAGCTTTGATCTTATCCTTAACCATATTATAATGGAGCGTGCGTAATTCCTACCGTTGATGTTGATGTTGTCGTGGAGCAATGAATTTGGACATACCCTGAATATAAATATCATATAATATGCATTGCATGTTACAATTCCAAAGTATTTGTGCCCACCCACCAAATATTATTATTATTTATTTTAAGGTCCACTCTGACCACAAAATTCACAAAGAGGATGATAACATTACCACCAAGAAACCAAACACAGCCCAACACCAACAAAAATTTCACGATGACCAAATTTCATGTGGTTTTCATCTCAACCCCTGGCATCGGAAACCTAGTCCCACTCGTCGAGTTCGCTCAGCTCCTAGGCAATCATGACCGTCGGTTCCACGCCACCATCCTCATCATCAACATGTCCCAACGGCCCATTGTCAAAACCTACATCCAATCTCGCGCTGCCACGTGCACGAACATCAGCTTCCTCCACCTGCCTGCGGTGGACCCGCCCTCCCCTGATCAGTACCGGTCCTCGATGGGCTACATATCCCTGCTCATACAAAACCACAAAACCCACGTGAAGAATGCCCTCACCAACCTCGTGTCGCCCGAGTCAGACGAGTTTAACCCGGGCCGAGTTGCTGGGCTATTCGTGGACATGTTTTGTACATCCATGATTGATGTTGCTAACGAGCTTGACATTCCTTGTTACCTCTTTTTCGCTTCCCCAGCAACATTTCTCAGCTTCATGCTTCACCTTCCTACCTTGGATGCCCAAATCCCCACTGAGTTTGGTGACTCGGACACCGAGTTGAGCATACCGGGTTTCGCTAACTCGGTGCCCCCACTCGTTTTGCCTACAGCGGTGCTGAATAAGAAGGGGGATGCGTACTATTGGTATTTATCCCATGCACGAAGGTACACCGAAACAAAAGGTATTGTCGTGAATACGTTTGAGGAATTGGAGCCACATGCTCTTAGTTCATTGGCTATGAGTCCGATGCCGCGGGTTTACCCGATTGGGCCAGTTCTTGATCTTAACGGGCCGGCCCAATGGCATGACCCAACCCGGTATGAAATAGTCATGAGATGGCTCGATGACCAGCCCACATCATCGGTCGTGTTGTTAAGCTTTGGAAGCATGGGGAGTCTTAGCGGGCCCCAAGTGAGGGAAATAGCGTTCGGGCTTGAACGGGCCGGGTTTCGATTCATATGGGCCTTGCGTGACCCGCCCAAGTCCCAACTGGACCTCCCGAGCGACCCGGCGAGCGTGGACGACGTATTGCCAAATGGGTTCTTGGAACGGACTTGTAAGTTGGGCTTGGTTTTTGGGCTGGTCCCACAAGCGAAGATTTTGGCCCACCCAGCAATCGGAGGGTTCGTGTCGCATTGCGGTTGGAACTCGATCTTGGAGAGCTTATGGTACGGTGTACCGATTGCCACGTGGCCGATTTACGCAGAACAACAAATGAACGCCTTTGAGATGGTGAAGGAATTGGGATTGGCAATTGAGATTAGGTTGGATTACAGGGAGGGTAGTGATTTGGTGCTGGCGGAGGAGGTGGAGAGGAGCATAAAGCACTTGATGAACGGTGGTGATGTGGTGAGGGCTAGGGTGAAGGAGATGAGAGAGAAGAGTAGGATGGTTTTGTTGGAGAATGGATCTTCATACCAAGCGTTAGGGGCTTTAACTGAGAAATTAGTGCCTAAGATATGAGCCCACCAGTCAAGCCCAAACGCTTTAGACCCAAACAGCAAAATATGAAATATTTCTCGGTCGGTCATTATTTCTGAGAAAAGAGGAAACTTGGATGTGGAGGGAAAAGAAAGGAGAAGAAAATGCCGGTGGCAAGACCTGAAACATCTGATTCCAGAGTCATTGCTCATGTAGACATGGACTGCTTCTACGTTCAAGGTCTCTTTCTCTTTTTCTTTCTCTATGTTCTCTCTCAGTGTGTCTTTAATTGTAATTGTGAGTGGTTCTGTTAGGGTTTGGAAATGAGTAAATCAATCGGTAGTCTAAAATGCACAATTGGGGAGATACCCTTGTGAGTATTTTGGTTGAACCAATATTGAATTGTCATGTTCCGATTAAAAACCATAGCTTTTGCTGGAGAACATTGAGAGCCATGGCTTATATGGTATTTTGAATAATCCTTCGCCATTCTGAGCAGAAATGTTTTTATACACTCTTTAAATTGTAGAAGCTGCTGAAAACTAGTAGACAATGATCCATCGGGATTTCAACCGTACGGGACTTTTTTTTTTAAATAAAAAGGAGAAATTACCCAGTAATTTGTCATTTTTTCTTCTAGAAGTAAGGAATTTACCTGGTAGATTCACATAAACCTGATGGAAATCCAAGAGACGACAACTACTCTAAGTGAATAAACTTGTTATTGTGAACTCTTTGGCTTATAGGAAATGCTTTCCACAGACTGCTCTGGTCATATTTTGAAAAACCAGGACAATCTTTCATAATCGGTTCCTTTAATTATATAACTTCGACGTTATTATGAGACTGTCCATGGATTTGTCTGTAATCATTAACACTGATGGAAGAATTTTTATCTTCTTACTGCCCCATGATTGCTATATGTGGACTTGTATCTATGCCAAGTTTGCTTTATTTTATAGTGGAGCAAAGGAAACAACCAGATTTAAGGGGCTTACCAACAGCAGTGGTACAGTATAACGCATGGAAAGGTGGGGCCTTGATTGCTGTCAGCTATGAGGCCCGAAAATGTGGTGTTAAACGGTATATATGGTGTTATTGTTACATTTTCTAGTGCCTTATTATGAACAACCAAGTTTTTTTAGTCAACAATATAGTCATGGCTTCAGATCGATGAGAGGTGCTGAGTCAAAGCAAGTCTGCCCGCAAATTCAGTTGGTCCAAGTCCCAGTAGCACGTGGTAAAGCTGACCTGAGCACATACCGCAATGCGGGCTCAGAGGTCTCTTTCGTTTGAAAGACATTAATGTCTTTAAGTTTCTTATCATTATTAAGAGTTGGACTTACGGTGAACTTCCTTAAATATGTAGGTGGTTTCTATTTTGTCAAGGAAGGGTCGATGTGAGAGGGCTTCAATTGACGAAGTGTATCTTGACCTTACCGATGCAGCAGAAACAATGTTAGCTGAAGCTCCTCCAGAAATCTTGGAAGTAATTGATGAGGAAGTTCTCAAGTCCCATGTTTTGGGGCTCAATAGTGAGGTTGGTGAATATAGCTCAGTGTCAATTTGCCTTATCAATTTTATCTTATAATGTAATGAATGTGCAGTTTAGGTTGTCTTTTTGTTTTATTGCGTGCAATTTGTGGAATGGAGAAACAGAATATATCAATAGTTTACACAATATAATATTTGACATGAATTTTAGTTCCCTCTCTCTCTTTTAACAATGGATCAAGAAGCGTAACACGTCAACATAATATCTAACATTTACACACCCAGGGAAACCAGAAAACTTTTAGATATCATTTTTAATTTATTCCTTTGGGATGGGTTTTCATTTACAAGTATTCAGTTTTTGGATTTTACAATAGGGCAGAACTATGAACAGATGCAAGAGATTTTGGGAAATTGTCTAATCTCTGAAAATTTATGAAAATAAGATAAAGAATTAAAATTTATCATTCTAATTTATGCAAATAAATATTGAGAAATGACCAGTTGTATCCTCGAGTTTTATGCTTTCTCAATATGCATTGGCAATAAGTGGTATTTGAAATTGGTTATGATTGTAGGACGGCAGTGATGCCAAAGAAAGTGTGAGAAAATGGCTTTGCAGGAATGATGCTGATCGCCGTGATAAACTATTAGCTTGTGGGGCATTCATTATTGCAGAACTTAGGTTGCAAGTGTTGAAGGAGACAGAATTTACCTGTTCTGCTGGCATTGCTCATAATAAGGTAGAAACCTCAGCGGTCCTTAGTTTCAAATTTTCTTTTGTCTTTTCCTTCACTGACTATCATGGTGTCAAAGACACTTACCTTAATTTCAAATTTTGATTCTGTCTTATATATGCTTTTGTTATCAGATACTGGCCAAACTTGCAAGTGGTATGAATAAACCTGCGCAACAAACTGTTGTTCCATTCTCATCTGTGAAAGGATTGCTAGGGTCCTTGCCAATTAAGAAAATGTAAGTTTTGCATCGTTCTACGTGGAATAAAATATTTGTTTAAAAATTCTATGCATACAAAAGAAGAAAATTTGATTTAATTCAAAAGTTTCTTAGTTGTATGTTTACCAGTAAACAGTCAAGAGTCATAAAGCAATCTTTGTTTTCAGGAAACAGCTAGGAGGAAAACTGGGGGATTCGTTACAAAGTGACCTGGGTGTTAACACTGTTGGTGATCTATTGCAGTTTTCAGAGGAAAAGCTACAAGAACGTTATGGAGTCAATACTGGGTGACCACCTATCATTGAATAAATTTCTGTGTCTTTTAAACTTATAGGTTGTGTCTGGGATATCACAAGTGTATATATATATATATCTTGCGTCCATCCTCAAACATATAGCGTTCTACACATTCAGCTCAACGTATTGATTTTTATAAATGTCTTTCTTCCTAATTAATAAAAAATAATTGGTTCCCCTGTATTTTCTAAGTTTGCTGAAATTATTGGAATTTTTATTGATATTTCCATTTTCAAGGCTGAATCTAATCTGAAGAAGCACCTTCAACGTTTAAAGTTACTATTGTATGTCTCATTTGCTTAACTGATTCAACAGCTTGTCAGGATCACATTTCTGATTTCTAAATTGTTCATGAATCACAGTACCTGGTTATGGAACATTGCTAGAGGGATAAGTGGGGATGAAGTTGAGGGGCGCCTTCTTCCAAAGAGCCATGGTTCTGGGAAGACATTTCCTGGACCTCAGGCTTTGAAGACGATTGCTTCTGTAAGTAATTTTCTCGAATAGACAAATACTCTTTTCAGCTTGCACTTGTCGGTGAATGATCTTGACTCATGAATTAAGCAATTACGGGATTTAATGTCACTCAACTTAGGAGAAATATAAATGCACTAAATCTCCTTGCTATTGAAATTTTTCAGTTCAATATAAATATCACCTCAAGTTGCACAAATGTCACTATCTATGTCAGCTATGCATTCTTTGTTGTACTGGGATTAACTAGGTTTACAAGGTACTCACAGATTTATAGTTCTCTCATTTTGACATGACATAAGGGATAGACAATGCATGCTAGGAATGGGGGAATGCCACCTATAGGTTTACTGTCTCCTCAATAGCTATTCTTTTGAGAATTTAAGTTGTTCAAATGGAGATGTATAAAAAAATATTGACATGGTCAATCTTGAGCTTCTGACATCCACTCACACTCCTACCCAAATAGAGTGTCGAAGTAAGCTCAATGCTCACCATATCAAAAGGTATTGACATGGTCGACCTTAAGCTTCTGACATCAGCTCTCACTCCTCCCCAAATAGAGTGTTGAAGTAAGCTCAATGTTCACGATTCACATACAAATATCTATGAGTCTATGCTTCTTGAAAGATCATGTGCTGGAAGATCCCAACTCCTTTTCTTTTAAAACAAAAATCTATGACAACTTTCTAGCCAGTCAAGCATAAGACATTGCAGTTGTCATTCATGTAATTATATTTACCAAAATGAAATAAGGCATGTGGAAAAATCCCTCATTTCTTACACCTTGGACGAAAGTGGATTCTAGGACATATTCTTTTCAATGGCCATCATACCTGGTTTCTGGCTCTTTTTGCAGGTTCAACGTTGGCTCCATGAACTTTGTGAGGAATTAAGTGAACGCCTTCAATTGGACTTGGACCAAAACAAAAGGATTGCTCACACACTAGTGTTGCATGCTACTGCATACAAAGTACCTATCTATTTTGTATTTGAACCTTTCTTTTATCCCTCTAATTTTTCCTGACCAATTTAGATGCTTTTCAATCTTTGTATGATTTGTTTCCATTTGGTTTGTCCTGCTCATGAGTTAGCCTTCAGGTCAGTGATTCAGATTCACACAAGAAGTTTCCTTCGAAGTCTTGTCCCCTAAGGTATGGGACTGCCAAGATACAAGAAGATGCTCTTAGTCTTTTTCAAGCTGCATTACGAGAATACTTGGGTTCGTACACAGCCAAAATTCAAGGAAGTCAGAACAACCATTGGGGAATAACATCTCTTTCTGTTTCAGCTAGTAAAATTGTTCCCATACCATCTGTAAGTTTTACAAAACTTGGTTTCTATTATACTGTGGATGGTGTATCCATTGTGTTTTGCACTTCCACTTTGATTTCTAGCTCTCTCTACCCTAGTTTTGGTCCATATAACTATATTCGCAGCCACTTAAACACTTCTAAAAGGGCATTTTCAGCTTGACCTTAAGGAACTCTTGCAGGATTTGTTAGATTTTGATACTTTTCTTCTCTTTTTCCTCAAAATGCCCAATGAAATTTGCAATCATTATCATCTGGTTGGTGCTTCAGCAAATGAACATATCAAAAAGTACTTGGACTATTCTATCACCAAATTAGTATTTGGACTAATGCAATTCATCAATTTTTTTTTCTTCCTTTTGTATCATATTTTACAATGCAAATATGCAATCTGGCAGGGAACAGCTTCAATCACTAAATACTTTCATGGCCATCCATCCTGCTCTTCGACAAAGCAATCACAGAATAACCTCGTTGAAGAAGGTACTCCTGTGCCACCTTCAGGTATGCAATCTCCCAGTTGCCTTTTGTATTTAGTTCTTGTTATTTGCAAGTCATTTTCACTCTGATGAAACCAAATTGTTCATATAGGCAATGAAAGCTACTCGGAGGTGAATGTAACGAAGCCACAGATTGAGTTCCCTGGTGAAGAAACCATGATCAAGTATGCTGAGACTAGTTCTGATCAACTGGAAGACAAAATAGATTTGTTGAATGATCAGGTTTTTAAATTACTTTTTAGAGTCTTAAGTTTATGGATGTAATGATTGAAGTTTGCTAGAAAAAGGTTGAAGCAATTCACCAAGGTTAAGGCACTTTCCTTTTCAAATTTGTATCCGCTTTCCTTGTGGAGATTAAGAACAGCCCTCCTATTTTCTCTGCCTTCCCCTATCATGATTGTTCTCTTGTGGTCTTATTTTTCAGTCTACAGTTCTTTTACCTTATTTTTTGCCTACTTTCTTAGTTGTGCTCAACGTAGCTACTCTTCCATGGCATTACGTCACTGGAAAATAACACTTATGGTATTTTGACTATATGTTTATGATAAATAGATTATGCTCTCTGATGCATACTACATTCGTTTGATTGCATGATCTTTGAATTGTTTATTCTCATCATTTCATATCAAATGCTTCGCCTAGGGGATATGCTATCATGTTTCACTCTTTCATGTGCAGAATCCATGTTGCTCTTCAAAAAATCAGGCACGTGATGAATTCACCCAGGAAACTGTACCGGTATCAACCTCAGGTGGTATCTTGCACAGGACGTTACTGTTGGTTATCCCACTTACTGCTTTTCTTTTGCTTTCCCCTCTAAAAATGAAGGATATCTATGTAGGAAGCGAACACTGCTCAGGAATGAATCAAAACCAACCGATGAAAAATTATTCCGGGGAAGAACCTTACGTTAAACTTTCCATGCCTAGTCTCAATAGACAGGAGCAGAAAAGAAAAGCAGTGAAAGACAAGGTTCAAATATGCATTTCCATCATCTCTTTAACGACTTAGCTATCAAGTGCCCATAATTGGGCAGTTGGGCTTGTAGAAGATTTGGGTTAACTCTGTGTTGATACATTATGACAGGGAACGTGCTCAATATTAAGATTCTTTAAGAATCAAGATCCATCTTGTGCTCCACAAAAGCTAGAACATGTTGAAAATATTGAAGATGTCAAAGCACCACCACTATCTCCTGGTAATTTTTGTGCCCCACCTCTCTCTCACCATTTTGCACGGCATCTCTTTCTAAACTTGACTTATGATGCAGGTATTCAGTCTCGAAGTAATAATTGTTTGGATCATAATCGATCCGAGTTGCCAAAAGAAAGACCTTCTGAAGACGCTGGGAATTCTAATGTCTGTGGTTCATTTCAAATTGAACAAAGAAGGGGAGGAGCATGGAGTTACAATATTGATGAAATTGACCCCTCAGTCATTGACGAGTTACCACCAGAAATTCAACAAGAAGTTCGTGCCTGGATCAGGCCTCACAAGCGGCATAACACGGTGAAACGGGGTTCTAGCATTGCTCATTATTTCTTACCAACCAAGAACACATAGCAAATGATAAGCTCTTGGGAGTGCCTTGTGTGTGTATATATATATTTATATGTATTATAGTGCAGTTGTAACTTTGTATCATTCCTTGCGCCACATCAGTTGCAGAATCAAAACGCCTGCATGAGCTGTATGTTGTGGTGGAACTGAGCAAAGTGTATTTGCATTTGAGTTATTTATTACAATAAGTTATAACGTTGATGCTTCTCTGAAACCAATTTCAAGTTTTGATAATTTGCCTTTTTCTAAGTTACCTTCATAATATGTTTAGTTACGGATTTACTGCATTGTGTTATAATCGAATTTGAATATAAACTTTGAATCCCAAACTATAAATGCCAATCTAAAATGGCCATTTTAATCATAACCATAAACATACAAGTAGAAAAAATTGAGGAAAAAAAGAGAGCCACAAATCCGAAACAATTCAGAGAAAGAAAATTTATTTGAAAAAAAAAAAAAATCAAATGTCAATGCATTCTTTCATCCGAAACAATTCATAGAAGAGAAAAATGGCGAAGATTTGGCTGATAAATAATAAATAATCAGGAGAAATGCCACATCCAATTAAGCTGAGGGAAATATTTCTAAAGCTTAAACGGGTCGAAAACAAAAGGTTCGGGTAAAAGGGCTTTTGGGCTGATCCAAGTCATGTTTCAATCCGACGGCCCAGATTACCTACTGTGCTCTAAGCTTTTTGCGCAAGACAGAAGAAATACACACACAGACACACACCCCTGCTCTTTCATTCAACTCTCTTTCAGCTTTCGTGTTTCTCAGACTAATCTCTATTCTACGAGATCTACCTATCAGGTCCACTTCTCTTCTCTCTTTCACATATATGTATGTGCATAATCTGATTTTGTTCCTGAATTTATATATTTATTTATTCTCATTTTATTCTGAAATCCGTGTTCGTCAGTGATCTGTTTGATTCTTGCCAGAATGTTAGAAAATTAGAGAGTGGTTTTGTTTGCCTAATTTTTGGACTCTAGAGAGAAAACCCATGATGGGTACGGTTTGTTTTTGTCAGTCGAGTGAGATTATTCACCATTTGGGAAGAATTCGTAATAATTCTTTCTGGGTTAGTTGTGTTAGCCTTCTTAGCAGTCAAATAGAGCTAAAAGGTGAATTCTTTTTTGTCTATTTAATTTTGGAACATGGTATGGTGTATGGGATTTCAGTCCAATGCAGTCCAAGGGTTTGCCTTTGTAATATTTTCTTTTTCTGAGTTTTTAGGTCAGTTGTTAGTTAGTACTGTGTCTTAGTTTTGTTGGTTCTCGATAATATTCTTCCGTTTGGGTAGGAAATTAGAGGCAGAAATGAATGGAAAAGATGCCCCCTGATTCTAATTAAGCTATAGGGGTTTAACATGGATTTTGAGATAAATCCTTCTCTTCGAAGTAGAATATTTCATGAGAACGAAACTGCTGGCTAATATCTGGATTATTAGTTCTGGGTCTAATTCCATTCGTTCCTTCCCATTTTGTGTTCTGTAATGGTCAATGCTTAAGCTCTGCTTGTTATTGATCTAGGGGTTTTGTCTGCTGTGCTGAGACGTTTTTGGATGCTAAATGAAAGTCAATTTATTTTCTTTGAATGGTTAAGTTACAACATCTTGGTTGGATGTGGAAATTAATTTGAGTTTTCTATTGCTATAACACTTACTGGCCTCTGGTAAATATGTGAAATTGTTCCTATAGTTGAACAATCCGCTTAATGGAATGATGGATGTTTATAAAATGGTTAGATGGAAAGCTGACCATTTGTAGTTTCATTTATTTGGTTGAATAGATTGATTTACTCTAGGGAATTTATGTTTCAACATGTTTTTGTGCAATAAACTTTTGTTTACCTTAAATTGTATTTTGAATTTGAATATTAAATCCACAAAGCAAGTAAGGTTAAACTGATTTTAGGATTTTTTGAATGGATAAGACATAATCATATGAGCATTAGAATAATATAGAATGACCTTGGGAGGTAGATTTCTCTTAGAGAAGCTGAGAAAAATTTAGGAGATTGTTTAAGTTATTAGCTGATAAAGATATAGGGGATTTGGTTATGTTATTGGCTAATTTCTTAAAATATATAAAACTTATCTTGTAACTTGTATACATTAACTTTCTTGTATATCATAGCTGTCTCTTTAGAAGACTAGAGTCATAAAGATGGGAAGGCGAGTAAATGACAAACAAAAATCAAAGTTAGTTGGATTAGTGCAATTCTCTGTAGTGATAATTGTAGTATTTGTAGTTTACTGAATCCATTAGTGATTGTACTTTGCAGCAGAGAGTAATTTTGAAGTAAGTGATGTTAGATGTGTTCTTTATATTTAATTGTTAGGATTTTAGTATCCGCACACAAGTACCCAATGATTAAATTTTGGTCAATATACCAAAATATCAACTGGTATTTCAGTATTTCCACACCATGGAAACAGACAGAGAGGTGAAGGTGTATCTTTCCACCTTAATGTTGAAATTTCAGTGTCATATAAATTTTTTACTTTTGTTAAGAACTTTCAGATTAAGCTGTTTTTGCAGTCAAATTTGCTGCACCACATGTAAAGCACCGGCTTTATGCATGCAGCTGCAAAAAGTAGTAGTGAATGTCAATCTTTTATGAATTATTTTCTGAATCCAATAATATTATGCCAAAAGTGAATGCATTGTAAGTTTGAAACAGTAATTCTCACAAACCAAACCTGACATTAGTTTTTCAAAATGAAGTGATGGATATTGTGTTTTTATATAATACTAAAGTTCGTACTGTCTCAATCCTAGATGTACTTAATTTATGCATTACTGAGAAGTTTACATATCGTAAAATTCCATTTGAAATTGCGCATGCTTATGTAAACTTTCATAATTGCTATTGATACTGCACAAATACAGACTACTGATATTCTAGTAGCACCAACATTCTCATCCTTGTACATACTTTTGTGTTATACATTTCTTATGGGCTGATATTTTCTTCAATCTCAATATTGTACTTCTCTCAGCGTGATATCAAATGTCTCGAAGGTATGACAGCCGCACAACGATCTTCTCTCCTGAAGGCCGTCTCTACCAGGTTGAGTATGCTATGGAGGCCATTGGAAATGCAGGGACTGCAATTGGGATATTGTCAAAAGATGGAGTTGTGTTAGTAGGTGAAAAGAAGGTGACTTCCAAGCTCCTTCAGACCTCTACATCCACTGAGAAGATGTACAAGATTGATGACCATGTCGCTTGTGCAGTGGCTGGGATAATGTCTGATGCCAACATCCTTATCAACACAGCTAGGGTCCAAGCACAGCGCTATACATTTGCTTACCAAGAGCCAATGCCCGTTGAACAACTAGTCCAGTCTCTCTGTGACACCAAACAAGGTTACACGCAGTTTGGTGGGCTCCGTCCATTTGGTGTTTCGTTTCTATTTGCAGGTTGGGACAAAAACTATGGTTTTCAACTTTACATGAGTGACCCAAGTGGAAACTATGGTGGTTGGAAGGCTGCAGCCATTGGGGCAAACAACCAGGCAGCACAATCAATGCTGAAGCAGGACTACAAGGATGAAATAACAAGAGAAGAGGCAGTTCAGCTTGCACTGAAGGTGCTCAGCAAGACAATGGACAGCACTAGTCTGACTTCCGATAAGCTTGAGTTGGCTGAAGTCTTCGTCTTGCCTTCGGGTAAAGTGAAGTACCAGGTGTGCTCACCAGATGCACTGAGCAAACTGTTGGTGAAGAGTGGAGTGACACAGCCAGCTGCTGAGGCCTCTTAAGTCTTTGTGTTCTTCTAATTAGATATGACATTGAGAAAATGATTTGGCATATAACATTTGAATTGTATGTTTCATTTGTATGACTTTCTTTCAAAACACATGATGGATTTTGGGTCTGTTATAACTCCTCTTGGCATAAGGCTTGATGAAATTTGGTAAGAGTATCCATTGTACTTGGGTTTCTTGAATATGTTCCAGAGGAACTAAAAGTCCATTTGCCCCATTGATGACTTGGATGGCCTAATGTTGTTATGCCATGATGCAATATCTGAAAAAGTAAAAGAATCACATATCACATTTAGGTCCCTCCTCACACTAGTATGTAACACGTGTCACCATCTCACGGGTGTGGTGGGTGAGCTCATGGTCTCTCCTATGAGGTTGGCATGAATTGGTTTGGAAACTTCGGATAAACCAAAAACCAGGAAACCTGAATGAGGAAATGTGCTTTCCGTTCCACAATACCAGAGGCAATCCCACAAGCATCCATAGTTTTGAATGTTTCAATTCTGGTTAACTTTGCATTGTGACCCCTCGAATTTTAATTTATTGATATTTACAACCCAAAATTCATTTTTGTTCTCCGCATTAAAATTTATTTTTCTGCTGTAGCTTCTCAGCTTGAATTCTTTTTCAACAAAAAATCTCTCTCAATATCTAGTATCACATCAAAAGTTTGCTAATCAAAATAAAAAATCCATTGATCCAAATCATCGTTAGAAGTTTCATTAAAAAAAATACCATCCTTAAAAGACTACTAAGTTGTAATTCTCAATGGTTTGAAAAGTATTAATCACGTTTACACCAGATAACAGTATTACTATTAAGCATCTTATAGTGCCACATGTACTTATTAATCCATTATTTACATTCAAACTTACTTTTTTAGTTACTCAGACAATAATATCCCTAAATAAGTTGACTAAATTTTGGATTTTTGTTTTACAAGTTTCTGACTTTATATTAACATATGGCAAAAAAAAAAAAAAACAAAGCCTTTTTTATGTGGAATTTTTTTATTTATATTAACAAAGTATTTTCTATTTTTATTACCTGCTCTTCTTTCAAAATTTTCGGATAAATGTGCAATTAGTCGAGGTATAAAGTATTTTCTGTTTACTTATAAGAGTTAACAGGGGCTTAAAAAAGAAAAAAGAAAAAGTGAGGGGTGAAATTTTTAAAACCAATTAATAAGGGAATCAACCACCAAAATCCAGGGACGCTGATACAATTAACTGCCGCTGCTGTATTTGAAGTAATCTGCTTGATAAGCAAGGTGCTTGATTATTGATTGTATATAATTAAGACAGGAGCTTTTGGCCTTCTGCTCCATGAATGTGCAGCTCAAGCTAACTTCAAGGACTTTTGCGTTTTCACCTAAGAAACTCGGATTCTCTTCCATTTTCAGCATCTGGGTAGATATGCTTCACAATCTCTTCTTCTTCAG